CGCTGCAGCGCAGTGCCATCGCATCGCACTGCGTCGCATCGGCCACGTTGCGCTGCGTCGTTGCGCGTCGCACTGCTGTGCGTCGCGGCGCAAGGCGGGGCATTACTCTGCACAGCGCCGCACTGGTTCGCATGTTGTTGCATCGCCCCGCACTTCTTTGCACTGGGTGGCATTGTTTCGCGTTGCGTTCCATCGCGTGACAATGGCTTGCATTGTTTCGCATTGCGTCCCAATTATTTCCATTGCGTTGCATCGGTTTGCGTTGCTTTGCGTTGCTGTATAATTATGTGCAGTGCTGTAGGTTGTTTCGCATTGCGTTGCATTGCACTGCATTGTTTGGGTTTCTTGCGAATGCTGTTGTATTCCATTGTTTTACATTGCGTTGCATTTGTTTGTTGTGCGCCGTAGTGATTTGCATTGCATTGCAATCCGTTGCATTGTTCTGCATTGCCACGCATTGTTCCCGATTGATGTGCACTATATGTTGCACCACATGGGTTGCACCACCTGTATTGCAACGCGCAATGCATGAATTCGTTGTTTGGGTTCCACGCTGGTGATCATTGTGCCGTGGAGGTGGGCGTTTTGCGGTGTTAGCTATGTTGTGTAAGCTCTATTGTGTGGGTTGTGTTGCGTGGGTCATGTTGCGCAAGCAGGGTGCAGGGACCTGTGCTGTGTGCGCCGAGCGAGGTGACCTATCTGGCGCAAGCCGTGCTGTGTGCGCTCACGTGCGTAACCCTGCGGTGCGAGCTGTGTCCTGTCAGGCACGATGCCACCCACCCGGGGCACGGGGCGCCCACGAGGCGCCCACGGGCGGGAGCTGGGCGACACCTCGGCGCCCCGGGGCGGGCACCCGGCGAGACCTCGGCGGACCCGCCCAGAGCACGTGGCTCCCACGAGGCACCCACGACGCGCTCACGGGCGGGTGCCATGCGAAACCTCGGCGGACAGACCCAGAGCACGGGACGCCCGCGATTGCCCGCGGGCGGGAGCGCGGAACATCCTCGACGGGCCCGTCCAGCTTCTTCAGGACCCCCCCAAGCACTTTGCGGGGCATACATGCGTGCGAAGCAGATGTTTGATAGCGCAGTGGCGAGGCCCCCAGGGCGGGAGGAAGATAGATGAGGATGTGGCAGGGCCCGGCGGAAGGAGGAAACGGAAAGGGAGAAGCCTTCACGGTGTCGACAGTTCATTGGCGGTTGGGGGCACATAGGTCCTAGTCGACTCGCTTGGCCAAGGCCGTTCAATATGTTGATTATGTCAAAAAAAATTGGGTCTGTACGCTTGGGCATCACGCTATAGTCATCGCGGCGCACGCCTCTGCACCCACAGTGCCACACGTGACTAGCGCCTGAAGCGTGGCGAGTTGAAAGCAAGAGGTCACCACAAAGGGCTGGGCGGAAAAGAGTGGTGCATAGAATCGCCCCCGAAAGACTGCGCCGCCCCGCCCCAGCGCCTCCGGAGATCACTTTTGGTTCGATTTGTGGGCAGGGTGAGCGCGGTACCGCCTCCCCTGCTCAGCAGTTTTGCATATTTTAGGGGTGAGCGCGGAACCGCCTCCCCGGGTGAGCGCGGTACCGCCTCCCCTTCCCGCTCGGCCGAGAGGCCTTGCATGCCTCGCGAGCGGAAGCGGCCTCGAGAGGAGGGCCGCTCCCAGCTTGCCCTCCTCTCGCGCCTGCCTGCGTGGGCGCTGGGGCTGTGGGGGCAGTTCCGGGCGCTCCCAGCGTCCGAGCTGCGTGCCGCGATCGAGGCACTCGGGGGGCTTGCTCGGCTGCTTGAGGACGCGCACGAGGCCCAGCAGCATGCCTCCCAAGCGGAGGCTGGCAGCAGCGGCGGCGGCTCTGGCGCGTAAGGCAGCTCGCAGGCGGCCCGCCGCTGCGCCTCCGGCCAGGCCTGCCCGCCAGGCCTCTCGTGGCAGGAAGGCTCCCGTGGAAGGCGAGGGCTCCCTCACCGGTGTGGGGCTTACCCCAGGAGAGGAAGCGTACGAGGAGCTCCTCAAGCAGATCGAGGCGGTTGCTGGCTTGGAGGTGATCTTGCCGCAGGGTGAGGTCGAGCTCGTGCTCTCCCAGAGCGGCCGCCGTGCGAGGCCGGTTTGGGCGCCCGCCTCCAGCGACCAGGAGCCGTTCTTCAAAGCCACTTTCGTGAAGGCGACCACCAGCCCGCTGCAGAGCGCCATGCAGCAGCTGGTCGACAAGGAGGGTCGGCCTTGGGTTCATCTTTGCAGCGTGGCTGCCACCTCGTGCCGCTGCGCGGGGCCCAGCGGTGGGCCTGTCCTCCACGTGCAGGACTTCAAGATGGTGCCCGAAGCCGCCGCAGCAGGACAGTCGCTGGCTGCCCTTCCAGCTGCGGTCCGCCCCCGGCAGGCCGATGTCGATCCTGCTGGCGGGCACCACGTGGGGGCTGGCCTGGAGGGACGAGATGGCGATCGCCCGGCGCGGGACGGCGCCATGGCGCGGGTCGAGGAGCTCCGGGCTCGCCTTGCCGAGGCACGACGCCGTGCAGGGCAGCGTTCAGACGGCGACGGTGGTGAGCGCCGGGCCGCAGACGCCCGGGACGGCGATGGTGCTCGCCCGCAACCTGCTGCTTTGCCGCTGGGCCCCCGTGCCCCGCCTCGCGACGACGAGGGCCCTGCCCTTGTAGCCGAGCTCAGGGCGAAGATCAAGGAGCTGAAGGGAGGCAAAGACGTCGGCGCCGAGCTTCTGAGCAAGGCGCTTGAGCGTGCCAAGGGCCAGAAAGAACGGGGCCGCAGCCGGGACAGGAGGAGGAGGAGGAGGAGGAGGCGCCATTCGAGGAGCCGCAGCCGCTCGGCAGGTTCATCCGGCTCGGGGTCAGTTTTTCCCCGTGCCCGGCGGTCGACGGGGGAACACGCGGCCGAGACCGCGCGTCGACAGTTGGGCGCCCTCCTCACAGAGTTCCTTGGCAAGATCCACTCCTACCTCGGCCGCATGGGCGAGTCCGACGACAGGCACGGGCTGCGGCCTCTGGTGGACACCTACTTGACTGCAGTCCTCCTGCCAGCAAAGGGGGGCCTTGGGGTCCGCTCCACGCGGGAGCTCGAGACGCTGGCCAAGACCCTCGACTGTCTGCTCACGGGGAAGGTGGCCGAGGCCGCGGACGTTCTGGCCCAGAGGTTTCGCGCGGCCGAGACGTCCCACACCGACGGGTGGGGTTTGGCCAAGCACCTGGAGCTGATTGGCGACAGCACGGTGTCAAGCCTCACCGATCGGGAGAAGGAGGTGGCTGCGAAGCAGGAGAAGGACGAGAGGAAACTCAAAGAGTTGGTGGCGAAGTCAAAGGTTCGCGATGACTAGGGACACGGCCGGGGCGATGGTGGAGGACGGCCACCCGCCCTGAGGCATTTTTCCCGTCCATCGCCGGCCCAGACGGCAGCGCCAGTGAGCTCGCGGCCTCCGACCGCGTCGCCGCCGCGGACCAGCGCAACCCCACCGCTGCCGGCGACCGGTGGCGGCCTTCTGCAGGCGGGGGCTCGGGTCACTTGGAACAGTTGGCCAAATTCCGGGGACTCCAACAAGCGGCCGCCTCCGGCTGGAGCTCCGCCGACCACGGACGAGCCACCGAAGCGCCGAGGACAATCGAGAGGCTTCTGGAGAGGAGCCAAGCTGAAGGGTCGCGGCAGAGGCGCCGCCCATCCTCCTGGGGCGCTTGGTGCGGACCCGAAGGGAGGAGGAAAAGGCAGCGCAGCGCCTCCTTGGGCGAGCCGCCAGGGCCAGTAGGCCCCTCTCCCACTGGTGTGCCTACTCACCACCCACCAAACCACCCCAACCCAACCCGAAGGCCCAAATTTATCTTCGATTTCCAGTGGGGGGGGGGGTCGGGGAACATTGAAAAAAAAAACATGGAACCCGTGCCCCCCCCAACCCGAAATTCGGGTCAAATTCGGGTATTCGGGTTGGGTTGGGGTGGTCTGGTAGGTAGTCACCTACTACGGCTGAAGGCCCGGCTCCTGCGGCAGTCGGCGCCATCCCGTGGAGGGGGGCTTCAGTTGGAGAGCTTGGTAATCTCCTCCACCGCGCGCTCATGGAGGGCCAGCTTGACGTTGGCCAGGCAATCAGCAAGTACGTCACGGGCTGGGTCAATACGACATCGAGCGAGGGCATCAATTGCGATCTCTTGCCGATCCCTTTGTTTAGCATATCCGCGGAGGAGTTCGACGAGCACTTGGGGGAAGATCGAAAGAGTTCCAAATAAATGTTAGGGTTTCATGGGGCTGGGTCGTGGACATGGCCCACGCGCCTCGGGCTGAACGCCTTGCACCACGGGTGCGACGCCGCCTCTCCCACGACCGGGGGGGCCGCCTGCTGCGCGGCCCTCGGCCCCGCAGGCGAGGGCGATGTATCTCCTCGCTGAGAAGGTCCAGTGCTTCGTTTCGCTCGGTGCCTCTGTCCAGGATAAGGATTGGGAGTGCCACCTCAAGGCGGCCAGGTTCGGTTACGACGGCTCGGTCGTGGAAGAGGGCGCAGAGGATGTCTTGGGCCCAGGTCGAGCCCTCCTTGCCTTCGCCGCAGCACCGCGCCAGCATCCCTGCTGAAGCCATCGCTGAGGGACCCGTGCTGGATTTTTTGTCGCACCCCGAACGCTGCCTGAGCCAATTGGGAGAATTGAGCTCTCCTCCTAAGGCAGGGGCTTTGCTGATCCAGCATGGGGAGGACTTGCGGTTGGCCCGGGAGCTGCTCGCGAGAGGGCTGTGCCTCGCGTTGCAGGAGCATGAGCTCATCAAGATCGGCGGTGACTATCTCTTGAACGGTGTCTTTGGAGTGCCCAAGGGTGGGCAGTTTGGCCCGGAGTGCGGGCGGTGGGCAGGTTGCGACATCCTTCGCCTAATTATCAATGTTGCCTCATTTTGCGCAGTGGCGCGCCATCTTTTTCTTGAGGGGGAAGAGCAGCTGGCGTGGAGTTGGCAGGATTTGAAGGGCTGCTTTTATTTGTTTCGCTTGCGTCCAGCCTGGGCGCCTCTCTTCGCCTTCCAGTGGCGCGACGAGGCCAAGGAGCTCGGCCTTCCGGGAGCGGGGAAGCGCTGGCTGGCGTCGGCGACGCTGCCGATGGGGTGGAAGTCCGCGATGGGCTTGATCCAGTACTTGCACCGGCGCCTGCTGACGAATGTTTCCGGGCCCCCTTGGGCGCTGCCTGCAGAGAGGGAGTTGCGCAAGGATCGTGCCGCCCCGCGGCTTTCTTCATCGCTGGAGGGCTTGCGGGCGATATGGTTGATCTACGCCGACGACTTCGACGTCCCGGAGATTTTCGAGAACCGGGAGCAGTTGCTGAAGGCCCAGAGTGAAGGACCACCAGCATTCTACCAGTGGGCTGGACAGCAGTACCAGGCCCTAGAGGTGCCCACCTCGACGGAGAAGGCCGGGCGCAGGCAGCAGGTCACTAAACGGCTCGGCGCGCGCATCGACGGAGCCGTTGGGGCGATCGGACCCGACGCTCAACAGATAGGGCAAATGCTGAGGCTCACGCTCCACGTCATCTCTCGGGGGCACAGCAACGCGCGCCAGCTGCAGGTGTTCGGCGGGCATTGGACGCACGCCATGCAATTTCGGCGGGAGGCGTCCGGCGCGTTGGTGGCCCAGCGCGTTGGTGAAGTTTCGGGCTGCTTTGCGTTGCTCTCTGCAAGTCAAGTGGGCGCCACTCCCAGAGGCTGTGCACTCGGAGCTATGGCTCGCCATCTTCCTCCTGTCAGTCATGGTGATATGGCTGGGATCGCCGCTGGACCCCGTGCCCACCGCTTCGGACGCCTCCGAGACGGGCGGCGGCGTCTGCGCCACGCGCGGGCTCTCACCGAGGGGCCACGCAGCCGCCCTGCGGGACCTGGCCCTGCTCGACGCGAGCGCGGCCGACGCAGTCGGTCTTATTGGCGTCTGCGATGGCGTCGGCGGCGCCCGACAGGCCTTCCACCTGCTAGGGCTTGCCCCGGCGATGCACCGCAGCATCGAGTCAGACCCGGCAGCGCGGCAGGCGATGAAGGCGCGGTGGCCGGACGGGCAGAATTTGGGCGACCTCGCGCGCTGAAGCAAGCAGCGAGAGACCTGCGTCGGAGGCACTGCCCTCTGCGCGGGGCGCCGCTGCCGGGGCCCTGCCGGCTTGGGAGCCCAGGGTCTTTCCAAGTTCGTGGAGGCCATGGACTGGTTCAGGGAGATCTTCGACGACTGCGTCGTGCTGAGGCTGGCGGAGAACGCGCAGAGCCTGAGCCCCGGTTCGCGCGAGCATTGCACGCAGCTCCTGCGGTGCTGGCCAGTGGGCGTCTGCCCGGGCAGGGCGAGCCCCGTTGGGCGCCCGCGCTACTATTGGTGCGACTGGGCAGCGCAGCGGCGCGCGCAGACGCAGCTCGAGGCCGAACTCGAAGACGTCCGCTGCGGCCTCATCGGGAGCGCCTTCCACGCGCCGGCGGTCGCCTGGCCCCTGGGCTCGGCGCTCTTCGAGCTGCGCGCGCTGCAGGCGCGGCCTTGTTTTGGCCGGTGCTGGGGGGAGCTCGCGGACCAGGAAGCCGAGAAGTTAGCCGAACAGCTCGGTCTCAGTCAGGATCCCCGTGAACTGGAGAAGCAAGCGGTCGCCCTGCTCCACCGCTCCGCCACGTTCAAGGAGTCGGACGTCCGGCTCGCGGACCAGGTCGTGTTGGCGCCACATATCTGGCCTCGTCGGGGGCTGGATCCATTCCGGTGGCGCTGGAAAGTCTTGCTCGCACCCCCGCTGTCCAGCCAGCACATCAACGCACTAGAGCTGAAGGCCGTGCTGACGACGATGAGGTGGCGGGCTAGATTTTCCTCGTGTCTCGGATGCAGGTGGCGCATGCTCTCGATTCTCAGGTATGCCTGAGCGCGCTCGTAAAAGATAGGCCGAGTTCTTTTCAAGTGCAAACTGTTCTCAGACGTGTCAACGCTCTCATTCTGGCGGCTAGCTTCCCCCCTGTTTTCGCATATGTTCCCTCCGCCGATAACCCGGCGGATGCGCCCTCGCGATGGCGCCCAAGTTAAAGCCAGACGAGGAGCGCCGCCGCCCGAAACAGAGGAGAGCAAGTTTAGGCACGTTGAAAGAGAACCAGATTAAGCCGAGTACCCGAGCACGCTGCACATCTGCAGTCGAGAGTTTTCCAATGGCTGGATTGCATGAGGTTGGCAACGCCGGCAGCGACGGCAGAGTTCGACTTGCTCGTGTGTGACTATTTGGAACATGGAACATGTGTGGCAGGAGGGCGATAGCCTGGCCCTCGCGGGCGACACGCTGAGTGGGCCCACCGCTAACGTGAAGATGTTGAAAAGGGGGGCTTCCCGAAAGTTGGAGCCGCCTTCGCGAGCCCCTCCGTTGTGGGACGAAGCAATGTGTGCCCTGGTTGGGCTGGCTTTGGAAGATAACGAATGCGGCTTCGCATGTTTCGTGTATACCGCTTACCAGTGCATGTTGAGAACGGGGGGGGGCCTTTGTGCGCGTTTTTTTTTCGAAGGATCCCAATACGAAATGCGCAGAAATTTTAGTAAATATACTGCTGTGCTCAAGCTGTCGGCCGATTTGAGGCCATACAGCCTCAGGAGGGGTGGTGCAACAGCTCATTTTCAGCAATCCGCTTCTTTGTCGCTTACGACCACAAGGGGACGTTGGTCAAGTCAGAGGACGCGCCAGCAATCTATCGATGAGGCTCGGCTGGCTTTGCAACGGATGTCTCTGCACCAGGGTGCCAAGAGAGCCATCAAACAGGGGTCGGAATCCTTCCGGAAGTTGCTTTTGGCGTAACTTCCGGGCCCATTGTAGGCATTGTTGCCCCTTGAGCGTGGCCGACATTCGGGCGTCAAAGTGACCGTTATGGCGGCCAAACCCTATGTACGCCCTGGGACAAGCCGAACATCGGACACGCAGGGACTGAGGTTAACAAATTGCCCCCCCCCCCCCCCCCTCCCCGGAGGCGCGAAAACTTTAATTGGACCCGCCCTCCCGGGGGGGAGGGGGGAGGGGGGGGAGGGGGGGGGGGGGGAGGGTGAGGGGGGGGGGGGGGGGGGGGGGGGGGAGGGGGGGGGGGGGGGGGGGGGGGGGGGAGGAGGGGGGAGGGGGGGGAGGGGGGGGGGGGGGGGGGGAGGGGGAGGGGGGGGGGGGGGGGGGGGGGGGGGGGGGGGGGGGGGGGGGGAGGGGGGGGGGGGGGTGGGGAGGGGGGGGGGGGTGGGGGGGGGGGGGGTGGGGGGGGGGGGGGGGGGGGGGGTGGGGGGGGGGGAGGGGGAGAGGGGGGGGGGGGTTGGGGGGGGGGGGGGGGTGGGGGGGGGGGGGGGGGGGGGGGGGGGGGGGGGGGGGGGGGGGGGGGGGGGGGGGGGGGGACAGATTTTCAGCAAAAAGGGGGCCATACCTTGGGGCAAAAAGTGGTTTCGCCAACAGTGGGATGCTTGGTAGTGCTCTCACTTCTTCGTCGAGCGAGGCGGGGGCATTGGCGCCGAGAGCGCACCTTGTATCCAGCGGCTACTGGCCCAGCCCGGAAAAAGGCAGGCCTAGAGGCAAGGGGGGCGGGATGCAGGAACTGCACCGTAGAATCGCCCCCGAAAGACTGTGCGCCGCCCCGCCCCAGCGCCTCCGGAGAGCGCTTTTGCCCATCCCTTCCCCCCCAGTGCTCCAATTTTCAGCTTTCGCACGAGTAGTGCTCTCACTTCTTCGTCGGGCGAGGCGGGGGCATTGGCGCCCGTCGCTCGATGGGCTGGGGTTTTCTAGCAAGCGTGCGGGGGACCCTCCCGACGGGGGTGAACCTCGCCTCGTCGTCGCGCCGCGACGCGGGTCGGAGCGCCTTCGGCGCGCGGTGGCTGCCCGCGACGGGGGTCGATGTGGGGCTGCCGGTGGGGATGACGCCCCCCCGACGCTTATTAGGAGACTCGGAGTAGGCAGCGCCGTCTTGGCCCGCGCCTCGCTGCGGCGGGACGGGGGCAGAGGGGGAGGGGAAGCGAGAGAGGGGATGCGAGGAGCAGCGAGGGGGCGAGGGGCGAGAGGGGGGAGGAGCGAGACGGAGGCGGAGAAAGAGGGGGTGAGGAAAGAACAGGGAAGAGGCAGAGGCGGGGGGGGATGAGGAGCAGGTGGCGAAGGTGGAAGCGAGGAAGGAAGAGGAGGAGGAGGAGGAGGAGGAGGAGAGACGAGAGAAGAGAGGAGAGAGGAGGGAGGAGGGAGGAGGGAGGGGAGAGGAGAGAGGAGAGAGGAGAGAGGAGGAGAGGAGGAGGAGGAGGAGGAGGAGATGGCGAGAACCCCCCCCCCCGCGCGTGCCTCCGGCTCCCGCGGCGGCCGCCGCCGCGGCCTGGCGGCCTCGAGGCCGCGGGAGAGGCCGCCGCGGCGCTCGTCCTGCGCGGTCGCCCCCGCCCCGACTGGAACGAGCAGGCCGGCCTCGCGCGCCCGGCACGAAGCAGCAGCCAGGGGCCGGGGGGCGGGGGAGGGAGAGAGGGAGGGACAAGGAGGAGGAGGAGGAGGAGGAGGAGGAGGAGGAGGAGGAGGAGAGGAGGACGGGGCGGAGGAGGAGGAGGAGGAGGAGGAGGGAGGAGGAGGAGGAGGAGGAGGAGGAGGAGGAAGGAGGTAAGGAGGGGGAGGGCGTGAGGAGGAGGAGGGTAGAGGGAGGAGGAGGAGGAGGAGGAGGAGGAGGAGGAGGAGGAGGAGGAGGAGGAGGAGGAGGAGGGGGAGGCGGCGGAGGGAGAGGAATGGAGGAGCGAGGAGGAGGGGAGGCCGGGGGATTGTGGAGTCCCTGTGGGTTTCAAACGATTGTTTACGATATGTCACGTTGCTCCTCATCTTTATTATGATATTTCCTCTCGCTTTCTCTCTCTCTCTCTCTCAATCTCTCCCATTCCCATTCCCAATACCATTACCATTACCATTCCCATTCCCATCCCCATTCCCATCCCCATCCCCATTCCCATTCACATTACCATTACCATTACCATTACCATTACCTTTATATTTGCCTTTACCTTTACCATTACCATTACCATTACCATGGCCATTACAATTGCCATTGTCATTGCCATTGCCATTCCAATTGCCATTGCCATTACCAGTGCCGTTGCCATTGCCATTGTATTGCCATTGCCAGTCGCCACCCCGTTACCATTACCATTACCAGTACTATTACCATTACATTACCAGTACTATTACCATTACATTCCCAGTACAATTACCATTACCACTGTCATTACCATTGCCATTGTCATTCCCATTGCCATTAGCCACTAACATTACCATTGCCATTACCATTAGCATTACCAACACCATTGCCATTGCCATTGCCATTACCATTAACATTACCATTACCATTACCATTACCATTACCATTACCATTACCATTACCATTACCATTACCATTACCGCTGCCATTACCATTACAATTCCCATTCCCATCACCATTGCCATTACCGTTACTAGTACCATTTCCATTACCATTACCACTGCCATTATCATTACCACTACCACTCCCATTTTCATTCCCGTTCCAATTACCACTACGATTCTCATTCCCATTCCCATTCCCATCCCCACTACCATTACCATTACCATGACCATGACCATTACCACTGCCATGGCCATTGCCGTTGCCATTGCCGTTGCCATTCCCATTGCCATTACCATTGCCATTACCGTTGCCATCGCCATTGTCATTGCCATTGCCAGTCGCTACCCCGTTACCGTTGCCATAACCATTACCATGACCGTAACCGTCATCATTACCATTCCCAGTACCATTACCATTACCACTGTCATTGCCATTACCATTACCATTGCCATTGCCATTGCCATTCGCCACTACCATTACCATTGCCATTCGCCACTACCATTACCATTGCCATTGCCATTGCCATTGCGATTCGCCACTACCATTACCATTGCCAGTACAATTACCACTACGATTCTCATTCCCAATACCATTACCATTACCACTGCCATTGCCATTACCACTACCATTACCATTACCTTTACCTCTACCTTTGACTCTTCCCTTACCCTCACCATTCTCATTTCCGTTACCACTACCACTGCCATTTCCATTCCCGTTCCCATTCACAGTCCCATTCCCATTCACATGTCCATTCCCGTTCCCATTCCCATTCATTTTACCATTACCATTACCATTGCCATTGCCATTGCCATGGTCATTACCATTGCCATTGCCATTGTCATTACCATTACCGTTGCCATTGCCATTGCCATTGCCATTGCCAGTCGCTACCCCGTTACCGCTATCATTTCCGTTACCATTACTAGTACCATTACCATTATTTCTGTCATTACCATTATCATTCGCATTGTCATTGCCATTGCCATTAGCCACTACCATTGCCAGTACCATTTCCATTGTCATTCCCATGACCATTACCATTATTATTACCATTATCATTTCCATTACCATTACCTTTACCTCTACCTTTACCTTTGCCCTTACCCTTATCATTCCCATTTCCGTTACCACTACCATTACCATTTCCATTCCCGTTCCCGTTCTTATTCCCATTCACATTCCCATTCCCGTTCCCATTCCCACTACCATTGCCATTACCATTGCACTTACCATTGCCGTTGCCATTGCCATGGCCATTATCATTGCCATTGCCATTGTCAATCCCATTGCCATTGCCATTACCGTTGCCATTGTCATTGTCAGTGCCATTGCCAATCGCTACTCCGTTACCATTACCAGTACCATTACCATTACCTCTGTCATTACCATTACCATGACCATTGCCATTGCCATCGCCATTCGCCACTACCATTACCATTGCCAATACCATTTCCATTCCCATTACCATTACCATTACCATTACACTTACCATTACCGCTGCCATTACCATTAGAATTCTCATTCCCATTCCCAATACCATTACCATTTCAATTACCATTGCCATTACCAGTGCCATTACCATTACCACTACCACTATCCTTCCCGTTCCCATTCCCACTCCCATTACCATTACCGTTACCATTACCACTGCCATTGCCATTACCATTACCTCTACCTCTACCTTTACCCTTACCATTACCATTGCCATGGTCATTACCAGTGCCATTGCCATTGCCATTGCCAGTGCCATTCCCATTGCCATTGCCATTACCATTACCGTTGCCATTGCCATTGTCATTGCCTCGCTACCCCGTTACCACTATCATTACCGTAACCATTACCAGTACCATTACCATTACCACTGTAATTACCATTCCCATTGCCATTGACATTGCCATTGCCATTGCCATTCGAGGATTTCAGTAAGAATCATTCAGTGGAGGATTTCAGTAGGAATCATTCAGTGGAGGGTTTCGATCGGAACCCTTCTGTCGAGGATTTCACTGTGAATCCTTCTTATGGGGGCGTTCAATAGGAATCCTTCTAGGGGGGAGGGCAGATGTGGCCACGTCGCATTCCTTTTTTTTCTCCTGGCGTCCCCCCCTCAGAAACAACAACAACAACAACAACAAAAACTGGGGGGGGCGCCAAAAAAAAAAACGGCAGAGAGGTAGGAGGAGGGGGAGAGGGAGGAGGAGGAGAAGGAGGAGCAGGAGGCGGAGGAGGAGGAGATGGAGGACGACACAGAGCAAAATTTGCACAGAAACAGTCGCGAACTCAGCGCGAAAGCCTCGCGCGCGCGCTTTGGAACCACAGGGACTTCACAATCCCCCGTTCTCGAGGAGGGAGGGGGGGGGGGAGTGGAGGAGGGGGATGGGGGGGGATAGGGGAGGCGGGAGGAGAGAGGGGGGGAGGTAAGCTGGGCGCGTTCGCGCCAGATCTGACACCCTACCCCTCCCACCCATCCGTTCCCACTGCGCTGACTTTTTCTCAATCCGCGGACGCGTGTCACAGCGGACATGGAACTCCACGAATGACCCCATCGTGTTTTGCGCAATCGGAAAATGGGAACTGCGTACAGACGAGGAGGGGGAGAAGAAGGAGGTGGCGGATGAGCAGGAGGATGAGCAGGAGGAAAAGGACGATGAGGAAAGAGCAGGTGGACGAGGACGAACAGCAGCAGCGGGAACTGAAGTGGAAGGAGCAGGAGGAGCAGGAAGACCAGGGGAAGCCGGATGAGGGGAAAGGAGGGGGCGACAACCAGGAGGAAGGATTCGGACTCAGAACAGTGGCTTGCGGTGCTGGGGCGATAGCGCCATTCTGAACGACGGGAGTAACGAGCTGATGCTGAAAACAGGCCGGCGCCTCAGCGGGAAAGGACCGAAAACAATCGGAGCGCAACACATGCAGATGACCAATGTGTGAAATCGTGAGTGAAAACAGTACGAGGAGAGGGCCGAAGATCTTCCGCACGGAGTTTGGGAGGAGATAAGAGTAGTGCTGATCATGTGTAGTTGCAGAGATGGGATGTGGGCAGAAGAGGGGAAAGAGGAGGAGGACAAGGAGGAGGAATAAGAATAATAATAAGACGAAGGCGAAACATCATAATGATAATGATAACCATAACACGTCTAATGATAATAAAAAGAATAATAAGTATCGAGGTATCGAGTACCAGAGGCGCGGCCAAGTTGCCCGACTGCGCCCCGAATATCAACGAGAACGATTCCGCTGGGGATCCTCCCTCCAGTTTGACCCCAGTCTTGGGGTGCAGTCCCTCACGGATATTCGCGAGAGACCTCCTTCCACTCTGGGGCAGGGAACCAGACGTTGGTGGCTTACAAACAGCGCGCAGCTTGGGCCCCAAACGATGAGCACAATAGGAACCACACGCAGTACAAAAGATGTACGGCCCCACCTGCTCCATCTTGTGCCCCAGAGCAGTGAGATACTCAAAACAACTCCCCTCCCCCTTCCCCTCGGGCCTAGGACCCTGTGGCTCGATCCCAGGGGCGTCCAGACGAGAACCAGGGCCCAGGGCCACCTCAGGACCAGGATCCAGGAACGCACACGCACCCGAGATCGCCACCTGGATAGCCTCGGGCCTGGCCAGAGGGGTGGCAGAGGCACAAAGCCCGCCAGGGCCAAACGCCAGACGGGCTCTCTCTCTCTCTCTCTCTCTCTCTCTCTGCAAAGGGGAGGGGTCACACACACGAGCGCTGCCCATGGTTAACAGCCTTCTCGTGGTCTCAGTCTTAGCCCTGGCAAGGCACGACCGACGGACCATCATGCCGCTGTGCATGGGAAGATCGTGTTCCGGAAATCTCAAGAGAACCACCCCCGCCAATGAAACGCCTCGGGAGCTCACGAACAGCATCCAGTTGCTCGCCCACGATATCCTTCTGGGCAGCGTTCTGGGACACTGCCCATCCAAAAAACTTGGTAATACTGCGTGAGATCGACAACTGATCAGACCAACAGTCCACCAGACTGTCTGCAACTTTAAGTGAAGCAGCACCGAGCTTGGCAAAGACATCCGCCCAATTATTGCCGA